GCACACTGTCCACTCCATGAAACCATCAGGCCTTCCTTACACCTTGGAGTAGAATCCAGATTTCACAAATGTATGCTGATTGCTATCAAGTCCGTTCCCACTGTTTGCAATAATAATAATCCTTGCATTTGATGTAGCGCCTTATCACGACTTCGAGACGTCTCAAAGCGCTTCACAGAATGTAAAGTGAATTGACTGTTCATTTTCTGGGCGAAACGCGGCAGCCAATAGCGCGCGGCAGCGTCCCACAAACAGTCGTGGATTGAGTGACCAAATTATTTTTTTTAAGGGATTATTACCTACGGAAAAGTGATCAGCCAATCGACGAACAACCGGGTTCCTACTTACTGCTGGGTGAACAGCGGCGTGAGGAAACTCGCCCAATGTTTCGCCCCGGCCGGGAATCGAACCCAGGTCCTCTCGCTTGCGCGGCGAGTGCTCTAACCACTGAGCTACAGGACTGTAATCTTATCATCAGAGATGAACCGATTGGAGGTGAATCTCGAAAACCATTTCTTCATAGAAAGAGTTAAGTGTGAATGCGACAGAAGGCGATCAGTTCCGGATCAAATGATTTAATGGGAGAAATAGATAAGTTGTATTGGAACCCCCGCACTCATAAATAATTCCTGTGTAATTTACTCTCGACTTAATCCGCGGAACTCTCTGTGTACTTCATGTGAGCTTGGAGTCTAGTCTGAAGTACCAGTGCAGTACTGGGGGAGCGGGAGGAGTAGTGCCTGTCGAAGGGGCGGTGGTGCCTTCAGATGAGATATAAAACCAAGGTTCTCGTCTACTTAGAACCGCAGAAACTTGCAGCGCAGAAGACACCCATCTGGCGCATCGTGTCCAATATCGGCTCTTTTAAGAGCACTTTAAAAAGTCTTACTCCAAAAGAGCGGCTTCTCTTGGCGGTCCCTCGGCCAAACAATCTTCCGGACACATCGCTCATCCTCTCCACCTTGCTGCCCCGTTTGCCTACAAACACAGTGGTCGGCAACTTTGCCCACGTTTTGAGCGGTTTCGATGTCGTAACCCGCTATTTTAAAAAAATTGGGCGTTAAAAGAGTTTTTATTTATTTTCTTATTGATACCCTTCCTTGGGATATTCTTATCGAATTCCCTTTTTTTTAAAAAAACAGATGCCGTGGGGGGAATGGGCTCCGAAAGGCCAACGAAACCCCCAAAAACACTGCAGACGCTGGAAATCCGAAACAAAAAGCAGAAGGTGCCGGGGACACTCAGCAGGTCAGGCAGCGGCTGCGGAGAAAGGAAAGTCAGCCAACGTTTTGGGTCCGCGACCCTTGGTCTGGACGGAACAGGCCATGGACCCGAAAGGTTGGCTCGCTTTCCTTTCTCCGTAGACGCTGCCTGATCTGCTGAGTGTTCGTTTCCAACCACTCCGGGTTTTTTTTGGGTCCAAATCACACCACAGATGTTTTTTTTGTTGGGAGAGGGGGTTGGGGGAGAGAGAGAGGGGGGGGATTGGAGAGAGAGAGGGAGAGGTTTGGAGACGGGGGGGGGGGGGGGGGGGGGTGTTGGAGAGAGAGAGAGGGAGGGAGGGAGGGGGGTTGGAGAGAGAAATGGGGGGGGGGGTTTGGAGGGAGAGAGAAGGGATAGAGTGGGGGAGAGGTTGGAGAGAGGGAGGGGTTGGAGGGAGAGAGGGAGGGAGGGGGTTTGGAGAGAGAGAGGAGGAAGGGAGGGGGGTGGAGAGAGAGAAATGGAGGGAGGGGTGTTGGAGGGAGAAAGAAGGGATAGAGTGGGGGAGAGGGGTTGGAGAGGGGGGGGTTGGAGGGAGAAGGAGGGAGGTTGGAGGGAGAGCGAGGGGGGTTGGAGGGAGGGATGGTTGGAGGGAGTGAGGGAGGGAGAGAGGGGGTTTGGAGGGAGAGAGGGAGGGGGGGTGGGAGGGAGAGAGAAGGGATAGAGTGGGGGAGAGAGGGAGGGGTTGGAGGGAGAGAGGGAGGGAGAGAGGGGTGTTGGAGGGAGAGAGAAGAGATAGAGTGGGGGAGAGAGGGAGGGGTTGGAGAGGGGGGGGGTTGGAGGGAGAAGGAGGGAGGTTGGAGGGAGAGCGAGGGGGGTTGGAGGGAGGGGTGGTTGGAGGGAGTGAGGGAGGGAGAGAGGGGGGTTTGGAGGGAGAGAGGGAGGGAGAGAGGGGGGTTTGGAGGGAGAGAGGGGTGGGAGGAAGAGAGAAGGGATAGAGTGGGGGAGAGAGGGAGTGATTGGAGAGAGGGAGGGAGAGAGGGAGGGAGAGAGGGGGGTTGGAGGGAGATAGGGGGGGAAAGAGGGGGGATGGAGGGAGAGAGGGAGGGAGAGAGGGGGGTTGGAGGGAGGGAGGGAGGGAGAGAGAGAGAGAGAGGTGGGTGGGCACTTGAATGGCTTTTGCATCTGAGGAGGGCTCTCCATCACTTGGTTGTCAACATCACATGAGCTCAGGGCTGGGGGTTGGATTGGGGGCTGTGACTCATTGGTGAAGCCATTGCCAATGGTTGGAGCCCACAGACTGTCAGTCAGACACAGCCCCAGACAGTCAGACAGACAGACAGACAGACAGGGGTGGGGGGTTGGGGGGTGAGAATAGGTCCTACAACCTCCTTAGGGGCAGCACTGAGTCTCAGCTGCCCCTTTGGTAGGATGTAACTGGAGTGCAGTCCCAGCCAAGGAGAGAGAGAGAGAGAGGGGGGTTTGGGGAGGAGGAGGAGGAGGGGGGGAAAGAGAGAGAGAGAGAGAGAGAGGAGAAGAAGAAGAGGAGGAGGAGGAAGAAAGGGCAAACACAAAAAAAAGGAGAGGAGATCGTGAAAGAAGAAATAAAGAGGGGAAAACTAGACAAATGTTGCACAATTACATGGTAACTGTCTTGCAGAGATTTTTACATCCATCCATCCCTCTCTCTCTCTCTCTCTCCTCCCTCCTTCCCTCTCTCTCTCTCCTCCTTCTCTCTCCTCTCTCTCTCCAGCTCCACTGTATTGTTCAGATTGTTTTTTTTGGGGGGGGTGTGGGTGGGGAAAAAGGGGGAGGAAAGGGAAGAGAGGGGGAGGAAGGTTGTGAATGGGCAGATGCAGAGGAGCTTCTTCTGGTCAGTGCTGTGATACACTGTAGCCCATCAGCTGGAGGTGAAGATAGAGGGACACACACACCACACACACACACACACACAGAGTGACACACACACACACACAGGGAGTGAGACACACACAGAGAGTGACACACACACACACAGGGAGTGAGACACACACACACACAGGGAGTGACACACACACACAGGGAGTGAGACACACACACACACACACAGGGAGTGACACACACACCACACACACACAGGGAGTGACACACCCACACACACACACAGGGAGTGAGACACACACACAGGGAGTGACACACCCACCCACACACACACACACACACAGGGAGTGAGACACCCACACACACACACACAGGGAGTGAGACACCCACACACACACACACACAGGGAGTGAGACACACACACACAGGGAGTGACACACACATACACATAGGGAGACAGGAGTGAAAGACACAGAGAGAGGGAGAGAGGGACTCACACACAGAGCTCAGGAGAGACAGACAGAGGAGAGATCTTCAAGGCTTCCCTCCCACTGTGGGGGTGCGGGTGGGGGGGGAGTGTGGGTGTGTGAGGTGTGTGTGAGGTGTGTGTGTGGGGGGAGTGTGGGTGGAGGTGTGTGTGTGTGTGAGGTGTGTGTGTAGGTGTGTGTGTGGGGGGGGTGTGTGTGAGGTGTGGGGGTGGGTGTGAGGTGTGTGTGTGTGGGGGGGGAGTGTGTGAGGTGTGTGAGTGTGTGTGTGGTGTGGGTGTGAGTGTGTGTGTGTGGGGGGAGTGTGTGAGGTGTGTGGGTGTGTGAGGTGTGTGGGTGTGTGAGGTGTGTGTGTGTGTGAGTGTGAGGTGTGAGTGTGAGGTGTGTGTGTGAGTGAGTGTGTGTGAGGTGTGTGTGAGTGTGAGGTGTGAGTGTGTGTGAGGTGTGAGTGGGTGTGTGAGGTGTGTGGGTGAGTGTGTGAGGTGTGTGTGTGTGAGGTGTGTGTGTGGGTGTGAGTGTGTGTGTGTGTGTGTGGGTGAGTGTGAGGTGTGAGTGGGAGTGTGTGTGAGGTGTGTGAGTGTGTGTGAGGTGTGTGTGTGTGTGAGAGGTGTGTGTGTGTGTGTGTGTGAGGTGTGAGTGTGTGAGGTGTGAGTGTGTGTGTGTGTGAGGTGTGAGTGTGAGGTGTGAGTGTGTGTGTGTGTGAGGTGTGAGTGTGTGAGTGTGTGTGAGTGTGTGGGTGAGTGTGAGGTGTGAGGTGTGTGAGTGTGGTGAGTGTGTGTGTGTGTGTGAGTGTGTGGGTGAGTGTGAGGTGTGTGTGTGTGTGTGAGGTGTGTGAGTGTGTGTGTGGTGTGTGTGAGGTGTGTGTGAGGTGTGGGTGTGTGTGGGTGTGTGTGAGTGTGTGTGAGTGTGTGAGGTGTGTGTGTGAGTGTGTGTGTGGTGTGTGTGAGGTGTGTGTGAGTGTGTGTGAGTGTGTGAGGTGTGTGTGTGAGGTGAGTGTGTGTGTGTGAGTGTGTGAGTGTGGTGAGTGTGTGTGAGTGTGTGAGTGAGTGTGTGTGAGTGTGAGTGTGTAAGTGTGTGGGTGAGTGAGAGTGTGAGTGTGTGTGAGTGTGTGAGGTGTGAGGTGTGTGTGTGTGAGGTGTGTGTGTGTGTGAGGTGTGTGAGTGTGAGGTGTGTGTGAGGTGTGTGAGTGTGTGTGTGTGTGGGTGTGTGTGTGAGTGTGTGTGAGTGTGTGAGGTGTGTGTGTGAGTGTGTGGGTGTGTGTGTGTGTGTGTGTGTGTGTGAGTCTGTGTGAGGTGTGAGTGTGTGTGAGTGTGAGGGGTAATGCCGGTGTTGCAGGGCCGGGGTGGGGAGGGGGGGACCCGCTGAACATGTCCCCATCGGTGCGTCCTGGCGCCCGGGGGGTGTGGGGGCGATGAGGGGGTGAGGGGGGGGTGTGAGGGGGGTGGGGGTCGGGGTGGGGGTCGGGGTCGGGGTGGGGGGGCCATGGCCCACGGTACTGCGCCCAGGAATATGCTGAAGTGTGTGGTGATCGGGGACGGGGCTGTGGGGAAGACGTGTCTGTTGATGAGTTACGCCAACGATGCCTTCCCGGAGGAGTATGTGCCGACGGTGTTCGACCATTACGCAGGTAATTACCCCCAATACACACACACACACACACACACACACCGCCCACAGTGCACCGTCTGTGTGTGTGTGGGGGGGGGTTGTAAGTGGGTGGTGTGTGTGTTGTGTGTGTGTGGGTGTTGTGTTGTGTGTGTGTGTGTGGGTGTTGTGTGTGTGGGTGTTGTGTGTGTGGGTGGTGTGTGTGTGGGTGTTGTGTGGGTGTTGTGTGTGTTGTGTGTGTGGGTGTGGGTGTTGTGTGGGTGTTGTGTGTGTGGGTGTTGTGTGGGTGGGTGTTGTGTGTGGGTGTGTGTGGTGGGGTTGTGGTGTGGGTGTTGTGTTGTGTGTGGGTGTTGTGTGTGTGGTGTGTGTGTGTGTGGGGTGGTGTGTGTGGGTGTTGTGTTGTGTGGGTGGTGTGTGTGTGGGTGGTGTGTGTGTGTGTGTGGGTGTTGTGTGTGTGTGTGTGTGTGTTGTGTGTGTGGGCCTGTTGTGTTGTGGGTGTGTGTGTGTGTGAGTGGTGTGTGTGTGTGTTTTGTGTGTGTGTGTGGGTGTTGTGTGTGTGGGTTGTGTGTGTGGGTGTTGTGTGTGTGTGTGTGTGTGTTGTGTGTGTGTGTGGGTGTTGTGTTGTGTGTGTGTGTGTGTGTGGGTGTTGTGTTTGGGTGTGTGTATGTGTGTGTTCACCTAAAGATGTACAGTCTCTGCGTCTGTCTGTGTGTGTGTGTATGTGTGGGGTGTGTTGTGTGTGTGTGTATATTGTGTGTGTGTTCACCTAAAGATATACAGTCTCTGTGTGTATTGTGTGTATATTGTGTGTGTGTTCACCTAAAGATATACAGTCTCTGTGTGTGTATTGTGTGTGTGTGTGTTCACCTAAAGATATACAGTGTGTGTGTGTGTATATATATATTGTGTGTGTGTTCACCTAAAGATACACAGTCTCTGTGTGTGTTGTGTGTGTGTGTGTGTATATATATATAATATTTATCTATATATCTAAAATACGTTAGCAAACTATTTACCCATTCTGTGCGTTTTTTCTTGGGGGGAGTGGGAGTGGGGGAGAAACCCAGAAAATCTCTCCCCCCCCCCCCCCTTACCCCCCCCACCCCCCTCCCCCCACCACCTCTTCCCTCCTCTCAACTTACTTTATAACCCTCTTCACCCCCCAAAAAAAAATCATCCTCTCAAACTGACCCAAACTCAACAGCTCCCAACTTTTATTTTATTTCTATTTTTTGCAGAAGTTTTTCTTTCCAGTGAAGTTTCACTGTCTGGTTTCCAGTTTTTTTTTCCCGCCTTCTTCTTCTTCTTCTTCTTTTCATTCTGTTTTTTTTCTTCTTCTTCTTCTTCTTCCTTTCAGTGCCAGATGATGATGATGATGATGATGATGATGTCTGGCTTTCTGATGCCATCTTCCAATCCTCTTATTAATCAAAGCCATTTGCTGTTTTATTCTGTCTGAAACGCACCTCTGTCTGTCTGTCTTTTTATTATTATTATTATTATTATTATTATTGATGCCTTTAATAAAGTAAAGTTTCTATATATTGTTCCGACTCTTTCTCTCTCTGTGTCTGACAGTCACAGTCACGGTGGGAGGTAAACAGTATCTCCTTGGACTTTATGATACCGCAGGGCAGGTGAGTGCATAATACATCCTGTATTCTGTTTCGTTTTGTTTTTTTTGGGGTTCGCAGCATATTTTAAAGGAACGCTTATTTTTTTTGTCGTTGCCTGTTTTGGGAATGGACCTAATATTTTGGGGGTACAGTTTCCTCCCTAACCCCGCCAGCTTCCCTTGCTTCGGTTGCCCGGTGTCTTAAGACTGAAATCCGCACAGATTTTGTTGTGTGATGGCGTGCTCGGAAAATAAATATGCCAATAATAATGGTTATTCTAATAATAATAACCCTCGCGGTTGATACGGCGCCTTATTAGGTGGTCGAGACGCGTCTCAAAGCGCTTCGCAGGACACACTGTAAAGCGGAGTGACTGTGCATTCTGCGCGCAGCCTTATTGCAACAACATTGTGGTAGCGAGAGCACAGTAGCAGTGCCGTAATATCAACAACAATAACAGTGTTCGTCCTTTCGTTCAATAATGGTACCTTATCACCAGTCCTCAACAGGTCTCAAAGCACTTCACGGGATTTTGCTTTTAAGTGTAGTGCCTGCGTGTGTTTTTGTGTGTTTGTAGGTAAACGCCTACAAGTAGGTAATGATCCGGTTAATATGACGTTGCTATATTTAAAAAGCTGTTTCTAATGCAGCTCAACCTCTCCAGACTGACGACAGCTGTTTGTTTTGAAATGGTGTGCGTTCGCCCACAGATATACAGCCAATTCCCTTTACAGTGTGTTCTGTGAAGCGCTTTGGGAGGTCCTCCCGACGTGAACAGCGCTATATCAAATGCAAGGATTATTTTTATTATTGTTTTGTGTGTGTGTGTGTGTGTGTGTTTGTATGCAAGAGAAGACCAGAAAATTGACCGAGTCATGGTTTTGTAAATTGTGCTAATAGCAGGACTTTCTGAGTCATGAAGAAGCTGACACTTTCATTGGGTTTGTTCGTAAACTCGATTGCATGTTAGTCGATTGCTCGGTGGGTACCGGTTCATTACGTTTCTTTGAACCTTTTCTGCCAGTTGCTTTCGGAGGCTGTCTTTAACGGTCTTAACTGCTGTTGCTCAAGAGCACGTCCGCCCTCTCCGACCCGAAAAGGAGGGCCGACGATTGCCCCGCTCGAACTAATTCAAAACGGCTTTATTTCTGATCGAACCATCGCAGGCAGTGACGGCACAGAAGAGGCCATTTGGCCCATCGGGTCTTTGCCGGCGTTTTTCTCCACATCGGCCATCAAATCCAGCTCCATTCCCCCGTGGCGTTCCCCGTATAAAAAAATATTAATTGGACTGCATCTCTTTTTTTCAAGTGTCGTCTAATTCCCGTTTCAAAATATGACCATTTACTCTTGTTTTTTTTTAAAAAAAAACCCCACACACACGCAATAACCGGCACAGACACGATGGGCCGAATGGCCTCCTTCTGCGCTGTATAATTCTATGATTTGCTATTGACTTGCAGTACAATACCAATACCTCCTGACCCCCCATCACCAGCTCAGGTATCCAGACAGTGTTTTGAAACGTCCTTTGAAAGGCAATTAAGAGGCCGCCATTATAAACGCAGACTGTACGTCAAATGTAAACGTGCGCGAGAATTTTCACAGCGGGAACTTGAAGTAAGGATTATTTCTCCATTGAAATCCTTTCGGATTCTCAGGACGTTGACTGACAATATTCTCTTCTCCCCGGTGGCTCAGAGTTCCCGGATTTCCCCGAATCTTCTTCCTCCTTTCGCTCAAATTCTTCCTCTTTCTCTCACATAGGGACTTTGAGTCTGAAACTCCCACGCCGTCCACGAGACAGTCATTGGGGGGGTGGGGGGGAGGGGTGAACGCACCCTGAAACTGCTGACTTTTAACCCTTTAAGATTCGAATCCATCATTTGCCGGAGTTCTTCGCTGTAAAGGTTTTCCTGAGGCACCAGAAGTACTTCACGTGGGTCACCCGATTATAACCCACGTGCAGTCATTTCCCGACTTTTCTGCCTTTTTTTCAGTGGTCGGCAGGATACGTATTTTCGGGAAAAAAAAACCCAATTGCGATCCCTACATCTGTCCCTCTGCGATACACAAGCGAAATGGATTTGTCACACGGCATCAAACGTTTTTTTGATGTTTGCGCTGAACTTAAAAAAAAAAAAACTTCACGGGAAATTACTGTTAAGTATTTCCATAGTCATCAACAATATCCTTCTCTGTGACTCGGTGAACTCAGGTCTCCCCAAACCGTCTTCCTTCTCGTGCTCGTACTCTTCCTCTCTCACCCTCGTGTAAGGATTGGGAACCATTCAAAACCGTGACCTTATTGGCACGTACGGAGCGTCAGGAATTTCCTGCCTTTGTCTTGCAAATGGACGGTTGGTGGGGGGGGGGTGGGGGGTGGAAAAAAACAAGAATCGTCTTAACTGTGATATCCCTCCGTACGAAATTCTGACCGTCGTGGTTTAATATTGCCAGGGTTTCTCTGAAGGGGTTATTTATCTGATTCTAAAAGAAAGTTTTAACACAGAGAAATTTCACACTGTTAAGTTGCAGAATTCTGCGCTTGGGTTAAGACCGAAACGGTGCTGTTTTGACGAATACTTTTGGACCGTTTTCACCGTGATCAGGTGGTAATTTCTCCAAACTGTTTCTTTTTTTTTGTTGAGGTGGGGGTGGGGGGTGTATAATTTCTCAATGTTAATTTTGTTTTAATCCCAGACTGACGCGAACAACCAGTGGCCATTTTATCAATGTGTTTTAACTTTAACATAGATTTGACCCAAAATGTTTTTTTTTTTTGGGGGGGGGGCGGGGGGCAGTAACTAAAGGCACTTCTTCTGATGCGATCGCACATCAAACTTGTGTACGCAACGTACTTACTCCACCTCCCGGAGACTAGCCCCCATCACGCCGGCCCTCGCCCAGGCTCCGCTGGCTCCCAATGACCGAACGGATCGTCTTCACTATCCTCTCACTCGTTTTCAAACCCCGTCCTCCCTACCTCTCCGATTTGTGTACCCCCCCCCCCCACCCACACGCTTCAGCACCCACGGCCTCCACTCGACTGGCTCTGGCCTCCCCCTTGTCCCCAGCCCCCTCCGCTCCACCATCGGCGGTACACTTGGCGTGGGGAACTGCGATATTCAGACCCCCACAGAGGATTGACTCAATTCCAACGCTCACTTGCCAGGCATGTCATCGTATTGGAACCAGCTCAGCTCAAGGACACCCTTTTACCCCCCACCCCCCCCAACCCCACCCCCACCCCCTCCGCACAGGAGGATAGTTCCAACAAGCAAATGCACAACTTTTTTGCAAAACTTTGTTGAATTGTATGGGCGAGATCTGAACATATAACAAGAGATCGAAGTATAACGTTTGCAAAAAAAAAAATGTTCATCTGCTCTGGGATAATATGTGTCACAATACGTAATTTGCCCAATCTGTATGGGTCTTAAATCACATCAAAAGTCAGGTGTGGGAATTTGACAAAGGCAGGAAACTCCCAACACTCTGTGTGCCGATGGAGTCACTCTTTTTGTATAGCTCGTAGACGTGGAAATCCTTAAATACTTAGTGAATTTCCGGTGAGATTTCAATTCGGTGCGAGTATCAAATCCATTTCATGTATTGTTTGTGTATCCTGGTTGGGCAGATGTGCGATTGGCAATTTTTTTTGTTTTCGTCCAAAAATAAGCAACGTGACAACCATCGGAAAGCTTGCCAGAGACGTTGGTAGCTGGGAAATGAATGTCTCTCTTATGCTAATGGTTATAAACATGTGTCTTTCTCCCCACCACCATCCCCCCCACCCCACCCCACATTTCCCGGAGCCCCAGATGCAAAATTGCTGGCGATGCTCTGTCTTGTCCTTTTGTGTCTCATCTTAAATGGAATTGGAGCAATTAATTTTAAGTCGTTTAAGAGGAGGAGGGAGGGGTGGCGGGGAGTGGGGGAGCGTTTTGATCATCTACCCAAATTGTGAGGGTGAAAGAAACCATCTAGGATCATTTTGGTAATTACCTGACGGTGGTGTTATGATTGACAGTCGATTGCTGTGGCTGTTTGTGTTGCAACGTGACCTCGCAGGATAATACCTTGCTGCCCGTTTTGAGTTTTGGTGGGCGCTGGGTTTCGGCCGAGGGCTTACGGCGGCAGGAAGCAAAACTTCGACGAGTTCTGCTCTTCGGAAGCTAAGCTTTAAGAGCCAAGAGATTGGAAATGCTGTCCTGCAATCCGAGAAGCCACGCGTGATGTGTGCGCGAGTCAGTAGAGAAGCATGTGCCGTATACGTTCAGATGGAAGTTGCCTCCGACATGAGTTTATTTTTAGAATGTTCCTCCCAAATTTCTATTGAAGTGGTGGCCTCTGATCCTTAATATTGCTCCAAGGCTCAGTGAAGAAAACTGGAAAGGATACAGACACTCATTACAAGTGATTTTTTTAATATATATATGCCATCGAAGCTGGATTGCAAGCCATGCACTTTTGTACAAAGCATGACTTCTGTCCAGTAGAAGTTCCAGTTCACAAGATAGTGATTGAGGTCACACATATCTTTCCACTTTTTCAAAAGGATGGTATCAGTGGGGAGGGCGGGGGCCCTCAGGGGGATAACACTCAGCAAATGAACCCACCTGTATCGAACAAATGTGTTGCCTATATTCAATCTCAGGATTTTGTGGAGTCCTGTAGCTCAGTGGTTAGAGCACTCGCTTTGCAAGTGAGAGACCTGAGTTCAATTCCAGGCAGAGGGCGAAACCTTGGGCAAGTTTCCTTACTCCACACAGAGCCTAATAATAATCCCTCCAAAACCAAAAACAATAATAAATTGGTCATTTTCAATCTACGACTGTTTGTGGGACATTGCTGTGCGCAATTGGCTGCCGCGTTCGCCCACAAATATACAGTCAATTCACTTTACAGTGTGTTCTGTGAAGCGCTTTGGGACGTCCTCCCGACGTGAAAAGCGCTACATCAAATGCAAGGATTATTATTATTATTATTATTATAACCTCAAAGGGAAGAAAACCAAAAATTTGCCTCGGAAGCGTTTTGGATTTGCTTTCAAAAAAAACATATAACTTTTCATTCCTGTTCCATTTTTTTTTTTTTGAGAAATGAAAATAAACTTAATTAAAAGAAAAAATCTCTTCCATTTAGGTTCCCCCACCACCCTCCCCCCTTCCCCCTTCCCTCCCCTCCCTCCCTCCCCTGGTAGCTATCTAGAAATTGACATTTTGATACTTGCAGCAATGGATCTGTCTATTTTTGTGTTGGGCAGATGGTTTAGATTGACTCGGACTGCCATGATTAAGAGTACAAGCATGAGTGCAACAGATGCTCAATTGCTTTGCCATTGGAAACCCGACTTCTTTAAATTTATAATCTGGTACAGTGTTTATTTTCGGTGGGGGGGGAAAAAAAAAAGGCTGGTAAGGCCATTACACCGTTAATTACAATACTATCCTCTACATATGGTCACATTCGACTTTCAAAACAAACCTTGGAAGGTTTAAAGTTTCACCACTTTTCTCCAGCTAAGCTTCTGAGAAGGGTTTTAAATGTCTAGCTTTAAATTGTCTAGCATGTGTTTAGCAAGCTTTTAAGATTAAGCTAAGCCTATAAACTAATTAAATGTATGGTTTACCTTTCCCCTTCCACTTTCATACGGAGCTTTCAGAGCGTTTCTTTCTGTTTTTTTTTGCTGCTCGGACAGAACACCAAATACTGATGAGATTTTTCGACTCGTGTATCTCTACGTATATGGGATAGTGTATATACTGTGTATTCCACATGACTTCAGCACGTTTCCGATGGCAGTAGTTTTAGTTCTTGCAAAATGTGGTTAAAGCTATGAGTTCAGAGTCTCCGGCTCTGGCTTAACCATTGGCGTGAAATGAAAGATTATGCAGAATTTGGGATTTTTTAAAAAAATATTTGCCTGCAAAATACAGTCACTACTCTTGTAGTAGTATATTTGGTGAAGCTCTTTGAGATGTCTCGATGATGCGATAAGGCGCTTTATCAAATGCAAGGGGTATTATCATTATTGTTATGTCTTCATATCATTGCTTCATGTCTGTAAGGGTACTTCTTCCAGATACGTTACTGAGTGACTTGCACGGTAAAATCAGGTCTGTTTATGTTTACACCACGTGTGCGCTCGCCGCTGGTGGTTTGACTTGTGGCCGGTGATTTCAGAACCTGGCACTTCTAACGTTCACACAACACCAGGTGCAGTACGTAGGCAGTCAGCCCACATTTGGTTTCTGACCTGCGGAGGCTGTTTGTAGTATACTGTACTGACAGCGTCCCGTGGCCGTCACAAAACGCACGCAGATCCCACCGTAAATCTGAAAGTACTTTCTTTTCTGAACCCTAAGAAAAGACCGGCGGAAAAACAAACGGCTCACAAAACGAGACTAAATACTTTGAACCTCCAAAGTTCCGCACCGTCTCAAATTTCGATGCGGCGGACTTCTAAGACGTGCGGTTTTAATATTTGAAGTCGAACGGGGTGACTGTGCGCAAATATTTGACCAACTGTGAAAATGAAGTACGTTTCGGGTATCTTTCTTCACGTTAAAATGGAGAAAAATTAAAAAAAAAACATGTGTTATATTGTTTTATTGAAGAAAAATCCCAAATCTTTCCTTTCCTGAAGGCGCAGGGCACAGTTCCACAGACTCCTTAACCAAGTGAGTGTTCACAGGCTGTTTGACCGCAAAGGCTATTTGATCGCAACTGTTCTGACCCAGTCCTCGCCCAACATATGCACATGGGCGTTTTTCAGCAGGGTGCATCAGATAATGATCACGACTAGGAACCCTGGCTGACCTTTCCCCTCCCACGCTCCGGGGCGTGGAGGCCAGATTAGTTTAGCTGACCTCCACGCAGATCAGAGATCAAACCTTCTGGTCGGTATGTTTTAGGACGACCCTGGCTGAGGCATCAACTCAAAGAAATTTTTGAGTTGATTCCCGTCTTATCTGTAGAAGGAAAAGAAAAGAAATGCAGGTTTAAGGGGCAGGGTTGGAGACGAATATCTTCCCTCGTTGTTGGGTTTGTTCGGCTTAACATATTGCAAGTCAATTGCACAACGTTTGTATTATTGTCAGCAATTTACACACTGCTCCACAGGAGCTGTTGGTTTTCTCCTACCCGCCAAATCAAGGCCAGAGTATCGTACAGCTGCCTTCAATGGCAGTTGTGCGTCTTTCAATTCTTTTGGTTTCTATCTGCTCCCGAAGCATTTAATCATCATTAAAATCCCTGGTGAAAATCCCTGAACGTTAGCGAACAAGAGGTCGCGGTGGCATTTTGGGCAGACTTCAAAACCGCGACAGCGATGGTACGAAACGCTTCACTTGCACATGAACATTATCTTTGTTTTGCTTTTGTTTCGCGTATTTTAATAAGAGCTAATGAAGCCACTAACTAAATTGCTTACCTGTGGCGAGCCAGCCAATGTAATACACAAAGCCCGAACTCTTACCTCTTCAGATCACGAGGGACTCTCACTGCCAGCAAGCTCGGTATTTTACCTTCTGTGATTGATTAGTGCACAGTGACTAATCTGTCTTACAACGAGTTTTGTGCTTTGCGTTCCTCATTGCGCCGAAGATGCTTGGCCATTTTCACGAGAAATGTTTCAGATTGATTAGAATTATTATGAGGATCGGGTTGAAAAACCAAGCGCGTTGTGTATGTATGTGTGCGTGTGTGTCTGCGTGTGCGCGTGCGCGGCCTTTTCCGTATACAATGTTCCTTTAATTCAGCGAGAAAGAGAGAGTTGGGGTGGGGGGGGGGATTGAAAAATAAGTATTTTGACGGTGCTTTGCTTTCGCAGGAAGACTATGACCGCCTGAGACCTCTGTCTTATCCCATGACCGACGTCTTCCTGATCTGCTTCTCGGTAGTGAATCCAGCCTCCTTTCAGAATGTAAGAGAGGAGTGGGTGCCTGAGCTAAAGGAACATGCGCCAAATGTTCCGTTTCTGCTAATCGGAACCCAGGTAGGCTGATTCACCCCCTCACTAACCGCCTCTGGTATCGACGGTCGAAATTCCCGCGTTTGTATTGTCTTAATATATATATTTTTTTAAAAAAAAGTTGAGACCAGTTGAGATGAGCGGTTTTTGAGGCGGGACGCAGGTTTCCTGACTCTGTAATGGAGCTCCTGTTTTTTCTCTTCCCCCCCTCTCTCTTCTCCCCACACACTCCACCCCCACAACCTCCCCACCGCTCCACCCCCCCCCACCCCCCCAGTAGTGTGTGCCACTGAAAGTTTTGTTGAATGTCGTAATGCTTTTTTTTTGTGAGAGCTCTTTTAACTTCCAAACCAGATGGTTTTTTTTTTGTAAACCTCCGCTCTGACCGAGGAGACTTTAATTCACTTCCAGCAGTGGGGAGTAAGAATTTTATCAGACGGAGCAGGGTAGGGAGGGAACTTTGTAATCACTTCAGTTTGTTTGCCACCTTAAGCGGCTGCAACCGTGTGTTAATCAATCAAGAGGCAGTTCTAGGTGACAGTCGTATTGAAGCCAACAGCCCAGACTGCACCATCCTGTTGGCTGGAAAAAAAAAGGATTGGAAGATCACCAAAAATGGGTGAAACCGTTGTAAAATATTAAGAGCAGCGGAGCCCGGAGAGTTGCTGGGAGAGAAAAGATTTTAGCTTAAAAGAGAGGACTTTGCAAACCGTGACGATGTCCGTTTTGGTGCAGAAAGCCACTGCAACTAAACCTTATTTGTTCACCAAGTAAAATTCTCTTTTTCAATTTGTGCTTCATCGATGATTAATGCACAATAACAATAATAATAATAATAATCCTTGCATTTGATATAGCGCTTTTCACGTCAGGAGGACGTCCCAAAGCGCTTCGCAGAACACACTGTAAAGTGAATTGACTGTATATTTGTGGGCGAACGCGGCAGCCAATTGCGCACAGCAATGTCCCACAAACAGTCGTGGATTGAAAATGACCAACTTATTGGTGTTTTTGGTTTTGGAGGGATTATTATTAGGCTCTGTGTGGAGTAAGGAAACTTGCCCAAGGTTTCGCCCTGACCTGCCGGGAATTGAACTCAGGTGTCTCGCTTGCAAAGCGAGTGCTCTAACCGCTGAGCTACAGGACCCCCAAAATAATCCTTTGAACTATATTATGATACTAGTAATTTTTCGGCAACCGTAGAAATTTACAGCACAGAAGGTCTTTCGTCCCATTGTGTCTGTGTGGCTCTTTTAAGAGCAATCTTTTCAGTCCTATTTACCTGCCCTTTCCCGTTCCCCCGCGGCTTACTCCTTTTTAGGTACCTGTATTTATCCAGCCCCCTGTTGAAAACTAACATGGATTCCGCTTCAACCACTGCTCCCGGCAGTGTATTCCATACACGAACTGCTCTGCGTTGAAAATAAATCCTCCCGAACCTTCCCATATGCTCGTTTGCTAACTGTCTAAAATTGATACCCTCCAGTCACTGATTCATCGACCGTAGGAAATAATTTCCCTTTACTGACCATCAAAACCCCTCATCATTTTAAAGACTTCTCTTCAGGTCACCCCTCAACCTTCTCTGTTCCAATGCAAAAAAATGTCTCTGCTATTCGAGCGAACCACTCATCCACAATATCCTAATCAAATTCCTCTGCACTCCCTCTATCGCCTTGACTTCAACATTCAACGTTGGATTTTGGGGAAGGTTCGAATAGAAGTTTAAATAATCTTAAAATTTATACTGCAGAATCTGGGAGCTGATTTATTCATATTTCGTGCTTTTTAGTAAAACGTGACCATTGTGCATTTTTGGACATGTTCCAAGTTCAAATTCAACAGAAAATGAGCAGCAAGATATACAAATAGCAAATGCCAAAAAAACTTGCGTTGACTTGTTTAGCTCGCTGCGGATGAATCATTACCCACATTTTTGGCACTTTCATTGGACATCAAAATGCTGTTGAGATTTATTATATATAAGATTACGGTGAGGAATTGAACTTGGTAGCTTCAATTAAATTGAGATTGAGGTCTTGTTAAAATTCTGGTTTTAAAGCTGGCTATGATTCCTCCCCAAATTGGTTTAATGTGATTACGAAGGTGATGTGATCATGTGAATAATTAAGGTTGGTAATAGAGCTTACACATGCCAACGTGTCTATAACCCACACGCAAGGAGTTACTTCGACGTGTGTAGTAATAATAATAAATCTTGCATTTGGTACAGTGCCTATAAACGTTAAACATCACAAGACACTTTACGATGAACTTATAAAACGTAGTGACTGTGTATTGTAGCCGTAGGCAGACATGACAACTGATCTGCATCAGCACACAGCACTGAGACCTGTACATAACACACACGCACACACATGAACATACAACAGCCTGCTCTTCGGTGAACTTATACATTTGCCCATCACAACATACACAAGTCAGTCCACTTTACAGTATATCACGAGAACCACTTGATGTGAAAGGGACTATGTCAAAATGTGCGGATGATCAGAGGAAGGTTTTTCTAACAGGAAGGATTTTTTTTTTTTACCCTCCCTCCAAAAATCACTGTTAACGTAGACGTTTGATAACACTTCAAAAATCAAAACATCACCTGTTAAGGGGGGGAAAGTGCCCATTTAATGCACAACCTTCTGACTCGGAGCTGAAAGTGCTATCACTGATCTAGGCATTTTTTTTTGTTATTTAAATCGATTCTTTAAAGTCCAGGGACTCGATGGGATTCGGTGACTCCTGCACTTGGATCATCTCTACTTCAATCCATCCTCCTCGTGCAGTTTTTTGTTTTGAGAGGGTGGGGAGGGGGGTGGGGGAAACATTTTAGACATTAACAGAGATTTTTGATGTGTCGGATGTTTGACAGTCAAAGGTTAAACCTTTTTGTCTGTAGACACAGGAATAATAATATATATAATAATAATATCTAGTTTTTAAAAAAAACACGGGATCTCGCTTTGCTCCCGAGCACACAATGATGGAAAGGTATCTTGCCTTTCTATTCATTTGATTCCCAACGCTAGTAAGGATTTAAACACAGCCGTGGGAATATCGATTATGGGGTGAGACCTCCGCACTTCTCTGTGTCTGCATTAAAAAAAATGTACAGTTCAACGTGACAGAAATAGAGCGTTTCTTAAAAGAGATTTTTTAAGAAAATAAAATTCGGGTAATTTATAACTGATCCGTCCGATCAATCAGGGAGAGGTTGTTGGGGGGTGTGGGGGTGGGGGGGAAAGAGACTGCCTTTGAAGTGAGTGGTTCTAGTTCCTGACATCACCTGCACAGATGACTCAAATCTCCTCTGGAGCTTAAAGAGCGCATTGTAACCTTGAAATCGCTTCCTGTTGGTAGTTTCTTATTAAAAACAAAATTGCCAGCCTTTTTATTTATATCCTGCCTTTGTGCTGCAAGTGACTTTGCCCACACGCTGCAAATAGCCTTCGCGTCCGCACGCGAAAGTCGATGATGCTGAGATTGACGAATATTTATAGAGAGATGGAAACTTCGACGGTTTAGGTTTCAGAGATATTGTATTCGATGATTTTTAAAGGTGCCTTCCAAATGTTCCTCTTTCGACCAGATGCTGCATTAAACGATTCCATGTGGCATTCTTTCTCCCGTCCGCAGTCAAAATCGTCTAAACAGAGATTTCCGTTTGAGAGTAAATAAGACGCTTTCCATGAAACATGCAGTCGGTTTTGATTAAATGGGGAGTAGGTAGGAGAGGGTGGAGGGGCAGGGGTTTGAGAGGGTTGTCGTAGGAGATGTGGGGGAGTGTTTGCATCTTTTAAGATCAGATGATGGGGACGTTGAGGTGTGATGGTTTTTGCAGAAATCTTCTATTTTGTCTATTTTGTCGCACGCAAGACAATGGATGTGTTGTTTACGCATCGAAGAGTAGACAACAACTTGCATTTTTCTCTTTGACCGAGCCTTCAGCTCCCCTCTCGACTCTCTTCCCCCTCCTCGCTCCCTCCCCTCCCCTCGCTCCCTCCCTTCCCTCCCCTCACCCTGACCATTTCCCCCCAATGCTCGGGTCATGACCCAACTGTGCAGCGCCTTGGGACGTCCTCCTGACGTGAAAGGCGCTTTATAAATGGAATCTTGTTGTTGTTGTTGTTGTTGTTTACATGGGAGTCCTGAATCGCTGGAGCCACACACGCAAAGACACCACAGCTTTAACCATTCAGAATAATTTCACAATCCTGCAAACCATAAGTGTAAGGCTGCAAACCGACCATGGGCATTGCTTCAATAAGGTTATATTTAGCTTTTTTTTTTTTGAGATTGAGCCCCTGCCGTGATACTGCAAAACGGAGGGCAGCATCAGCTGAGATGAAATAACCCTGAGAAATTTTAATAGCAGATTCACCTAATCGTGACCCGAATCTGCTTAGGTGAATCTGATTAATGCAAGTGTTGCTGAAACTGCACCCAAGGTAATGAGATTGCCCAACCACTCGGTATTTGGGACACCTCTTTACTTAGAATCCAAAAACGTTAAGAGGAGCAAAACGGGTCATTTGGCTCAGCGCACCTGTGCTTAGTTTTCTCGAGCTGAGCCATTTAACCCATCCTCAATAGCCTTTGGTATTCCATCTCGTCGAGCATGATTTGTTTTCTTTAGAAAAAAGAAATTGCGAACTCTTTTAACTACGGCGTGTGACAAGAGAATTTTACATTACACCCAACCCTCTTGGTTGACGGAGAGGATTTTTATTTAACCTCAGTAGTCTGCGCTGAGTTCTACACACGTAGAAACAGGAGTAGGCCATTGAGCCCCTCACGTTTGTTCCGCCATCTGTAAGATCACGGCTGATCTGTACCTCAAGTTCAATTACCTGCCTTTGCCTACGTATCCCCTAATACTCTGACCTAACAAATATCTATCCACCTCAGTCTTGGAGATGTGAATTGATCCAGCGTCCACAGCCTTTTGGGGGGAGAGAGAGCTCCAGATTTCCACTACCCTTTTGAGTGAAAAACTACCTCCTAATTTCACTCGTAAATGGCCAAGCTCTACTATTAAGGTTATGCCCACTTGTTCTGGATTCACCTATCAGAGGAAATCCACCACATGATCCAGGATTGTTCAGAAAGTTGAAGGGCTTCAAAGACGAGCAAAGCACTGAGAACTTTAGGGTTTCATTCATGCTCGTCTCGTACTGTTTTTCAGGTTGATCTTCGCGATGACCCAAGAACTTTAACTAAACTGAATACCTTGAAGGAAAAGCCTGTGACGACAGAGCAAGGGGAGAAGTTGGCAAAGGGGGTACAGTATTCCATTTAAGATCAATAGATTATTGAACTGCTTTTGATTTTATGGACAGAAAGCAACCTGTGGTTTTCATTATGCCCAAAATGATATTAAAGTGGTCTTAACTCATCTTAACTTTGATTTCCTTTAAAACAAAGTGGTTACAGAAAGCAGCAGGTTACATCTGCCTACGGTTTTTTTTTAGAGCAAATCTCTCTCTCACCCCTTGGGTATACAGTTATTGTATAATCTGTATAATTTGCGTTTATATCGTGCTCTTTAATAGGTTAACCGTAGTCAATCGTTTGGGAAACTGGTGCCTGGGGTGATGGACATGCAGAGTTTGGGGCAGATGTGAATGCAGGTGATGGGACGTTAGTATTAGCTTGAATTTGCAGATAGTGGACCTCAGGAGTGCATTTGAGACGTCATGACAGGAGGTAACAAAGGCGTGAACGAGGATTTCATCAACATTTGGTGTGAGATACGGGAGGAGGTTGGCAATGTGGAGAAGTCTCTGCAGGGTTAGTAACAGAATAGTCTTTGCCGAGAGGAATTTAATTATATGAGAACTATTATCTGTAAATATTGCACATTTAGACCAGGGCCGGTTAGCGTGTGGACCACTGACAGACTGGCTGTAGGTTATGAAGGAGGGCAGATTGTGTACCAGTGTTTCGGAAGGTCAAAAGTGCTGTTTTGGGGTTAAGGAAAGCATAGTAGTACAGATTCTTTTTTTTAATATGAAACGTATTTAAATTACCCAACAAATAGAAAAAAACTGGTGCTGGATTATACACACACACACAAACGCACAATACATGCTTTGATAGGCCTTTGCAAATGATCACTTTTTAAAACAGATTCAAATCAAATGTTTAAATGGCTCTAAACGCTTTACCCCCCCCCCCCTACCCCCAACCCCCTTGACAGATTGGAGCATACTGCTACGTGGAGTGTTCAGCCTTAACGCAAAAAGGACTGAAGACGGTCTTTGATGAAGCCATAATTGCTATCCTAACTCCAAAGAAAAATGTTTTGAAAAAAAGACTTGGATCAAGATGCATAAATTGCTGTATGATCACATGAGAGGGAAGATGCAGCAAGGACTGACCATGTCCACTGTGAAAAAAAAAAACCCTGCAGCAACTATAAAGCAGTTATGTGTATTACACAAGAGTGTGCGTGTAGCAGCCGAAGATGAAAGTACACTAAATTCACTGGGAACTGTACAAAGTTCTGCTGTGCTGGCTGGAGGAAAAAAGCAAATTTGCGAATTGATGTCATCTGGAGGAATTCATTTCCCTGGAGGGTACAGATGCAAGATTCTCAGGGGTTGTTTCACCGACAAATACAATCTTTTCCTCCCTCCTCCTCCCCCCCCCCCCACGTTTTAAATGGGGGAAGTGAATCATCTAGACTCGAGCATGCTATAAAACTTAACGTATCATTTCTGGGACTAACCACATGTTCACGAGAACAGACAACTTTTTATTCTCCCGCGAACGCAGCCTTGGGAGGAAGCTGGCCAAAACGAACCGCGGGCACGGCTTGGAATCCGGAGTCGGTTGGGTTGGGTTGGGTTGAGCAGCGACGGCCCGCTGTCAGCTATCTGCTTTTGTACGTGAGCTGCTTCTTGTGCCAGTGTATCCACAGGGGTGCCCCGACCAGACCGACGGCGAACCCAAAGGTCGCCCCGAGCGTGCAGGAAACCGGCCACACCTGCAAAAAAAAAAAAAAAGACAACATGCACATTAAAATGTCTTCTGCAGCCCCTCTCCGACGCACAGGACGAAGCACAGATTTTAAAGTAGCCGAAATTTGATCGTTTTTCTTTTCTTCCTTCCTCCCCCCCCCCCCCCCACTGCCTAATCGGGTTCCGACTGAAAAGACGTCAAATTGTAATCGGTATTGTGCAACTTTTCCCCCATGTATTCTGTACTTTTTGGAGAGTTTAAAAAGCATTTTTTTTTTCCCCCCATGGTTTGATTTTCAGCATTTAGTAGAATGCAGCATTTACATAAATATATATATACACACACATATATATATATGTGTGCAAAATATTTCTTAGAGCAGGTCAATCTTCTGTAGGTTTCATCTATTTCAGTAATAATTTCAAACACTAACTTGCAGACGTTACCTATTATTTGAGATAGCTCTTGTATTTTTAAAATCTATGAAAGTCTGGCCAAATAAAAATGTGAAACAGCTGAAACAGTTAATTTTTTTTAAAAATGAGATTTACAAGCTACATCTAAAGTGTGTATATATATAATAAAAATAGGTTTGACTCTTGTTTTTCCTGTTAAATGAAGTGTCTGTTGGGCCGAATGCTGAAAACTCACCTTTTTAATATTGTTTGATACCAAAATAAATTTTTATTATCTCAAATCGCCTAGTGGTGTACAGTGATTCACAATCTGAAGACCTGAAGGCCACTAATAAATAGTAAAAAAATAATCTGTGCATTTGAGATAGCGCCTTGTCACGCCATTCAAACGTCTCAAAGCGCTTTACAGGGGATATTGTAAAGTGGAGTGACTGTGTATTTTGTGGGTGAAATACAATCTGTCAATCTATTTTGATAGATTGCTTTGTAGAAAGTAGTGGTACCATTACCAACATGTCTCAGCAGCGTCTTAAAAATGCTGGCTCATCGCCATAAAAACAGCAAAATAAAGTTTTCAGTTCTTTTCCAATTAATGCGAGAAATACTTAAAATTCTTAAGTGACAAAAATCACTTACATTTTCACCAGCAGAGGAAGGAGAGCTTTATTAATCTGAGAATTATCCTCCCGCCAACTCAACTTAGGTTTCCGGGTCCAGTGCCAATGAATTTGAGGAGGGGGGAAAGAAAGGTAGAAGGGTTTCTTTGTTCCTGCTTTGAGTTTTTAAAAATCTTTTGTTGGCCAGGCAGTATCCAATTTGGGGAATGAAAGAACTTACATTTTTATAGTGCCTTATCAACATCTAAACGAATGAATGTCATTACTGTCAAGTGTAGTGGTGGTTGNTTTTTTTTTGAGGCTAATGTAAGAGGAATATTTTGCTCGCAGGAAGGTCTCACAACCTTCCCTAAAGTAAATAGCCAAGCAATCTGAATTATTGACCCTGGGAGAAACTTCCTCTTTTCGGGTAGTGTCATGGGATCTTTTACAGTTTACTTGACAGAGGCTGATGAGACCTTGTGATTACATTTCATCCAAAAAAAAAGGCACCTCCAACAATTTAGCGCTCCTCCAGTTCTGGATTGGCATATCACCTTGGACGATCACCACAAGTAACCCCCTCCCCTCCTGCCAAATGACTAACAGTCAGATCCCTACTTATTGCGAGGTAAACGGAGGGGGGTGGAGCAAGGAAACTCGACCAGCAATTCGAGGTCCTCTCGCTTGCGAGGCGAGTGGTCTAACCTCTGAGCTACATGGCACCACGCGACCCTGACGAATATTTTTTTTTACAGCAGTATTAAAAACTCTTCTTGAAACATTCACTGGGCAATCCTTTTTAAAAAACTGAAAGCGGCCCAACATTGAAAATGGGACTTTCACACCCTTCCAACAGCGGGAGGAAAAGTCAGAACCCTACAATGAACTGAAATGTAATAACACGGCTTTACATGTGGGCTGCGTTCGCCCACAAATATACAGTCAATTCACTTTACAGTGTGTTCTGTGAAGCACTTTGGGACGTCCTCCCGACGTGAAAAGCGCTATATCAAATGCAAGGATTATTATTATTATTATTATTAAGGCAAATGCATTCCTCGGTCAGTAAGGGCTTGATCTTGCCATGATCTGCAGTGACCTTTTTAATCACTTTTTTTGTTTAGATCACTCGCCTCGCAAGCGAGAGGACCTGGGTTTGATTCCAGGGCAGGGGGAATTGTTGGGAGAGTTTCCTTACTCCTCGCGCCTCTGTTTACCTCGCAGTAAGTAGGAACCTAGTTGTTAGTCGCTCGGCAGATCGCTTTTCCAGAGATGATAATCCCTTCAAAAAGAAAAACATGTATTTGGTCTCCCGGTCCACGACAGTTTGCGGGACACTGCTGTGCACAATCAGTCAATTCACTTTACAGTATATTCTGTGAAGCGCTTTGAGACTTCTCAAAGACGTGATCAAATGCAAGGATTGCGATATGTTATTAGTCGCAGATATTGGGAGAAGAGGCTGGAACAGTAAAATATGCCAACATGGAAACTGGAAACCCATCGCCAAAAAACAAGACGAAACACGTGGGCAAAAGTTGCAATGACAGGCACATTTTTTCACTCTCTGTCCCAATGCTGATTCAATTGTTGTTTTAAGATTTTTTGTCACTTTTTTAAAAATAAAATTGGTGGTGGATGGGGGAGGGGATTCCTGGAATTTATGCTTCTGATTTGAGAACCTGCTGACAAGTACTTCCTCAATCTTCAAAGTGTTTTTACTTGCACTGCATTTTAGCCATTTACCTCAATAAAAATATAGCCTGAATGCTGAAACTGTAAGCAGACAGTTAAAAAAAAAAACATGGTGGGTTTCTTCTTCACCTGAGGCGACAGAGATTCCGGGCTCCCTGCACTGTTGGCTTCTATTTAAGCACACGCTGAAAAAATCCCCTACTTCTGTACTGTAATACTTATAAAATATTAATTAAAAATAGTTCAGGAAAGTCCCCTTCTGCTTCCCCAATTCTCTGTTGCAGTTTAACTTGCAATTCATTTTTTTTGACCAATATTGCGCAAGATTGGTTTGGATGGTGAAGACTCTTCGGCCCATCTGATCTCTCTTCCCCCCCACCCACCCACCCTCTATACCCCCCCCCCAGTATACCTTCCTGGCCTCGTATCACGCTGTTTGCAAGGAGTCCAATGCCTTGGCCTCAACCGGTTCTAGTTATTAATAATCATTGTACTGAAGTTGCCCTTTTGGAGCAGCTCTAAACCTGCGTTGTCTTGTTCTACTGCCTCGATGTTTTGGGTTTACTTGCAATCTCGTCGAAAATATTATCGACCTCTATGAGATCCCTCCGCACTGGTTGTCTTATGGCGAATAGGGGAAATAGCATGTCTAAACGGTTGATCGCAGCTCATTCCTCGAGCACTAATATTCTATGCTAAAGCCCTGGCTGGCTGGACGAACAAGGTGGAAGGGAGGGGAGGAGAGATCCGGGACAAAATGCCAGAATTTCCAGCAATGTGTAATTACAATGTCGGTTTCGTCGTGCTGTGAAATGGCATTGTAACTGACTGAATTGTTTGTCGTCCTTACATGAAATGGTAAGGACGTTTACACTTCAGTCACTGGACAAAAATGTATCTCCTGGGTATAAAGGCTGCAAAGGCACAACTATTGAATACTACGGTGAAATGTTCATCTCTCAGTTGCTGTGATTGTTTGCTGAGATTGGTTCCTATATCTCTGGCCTGTCCTTGTTCAGACAGTTTGAGGGGGGAGAAAGTACCTTTCTTGTAGCTACGCAGTGGAGAATGCAACCGAGATCCTCGGCCACTTTCTCAAGGCTACATGGTAAAGTGACAGCCGGCTTATCAAAATTATGAAGCTGTGGTTTTAAAACCCATTTAGAAGCCTTGAGCTTTTAAGTGCTCGGTATAACATTGATTGCCTGATATACAGAGTGTTATTTGCCAGAATAGTTTTGCATTTTCCCAATTCGCCAAACATGCTTCCAAATGCGAACAACAGTTGCGAGTCCCTCAATAGAAACGAGTTACTTGCCTCTCCTCAAAACTAAACCACCGTACATAATTTGTTTGCGAAAATTCACACTTTTGAGTATGAATGGAGTGGGAACCTTATGCTTTATATGAGCCACTGTGATGTTTGGTGGTTGCGCAATGGTCCATATGAGAACAATCTGTTTTAAAGAAACTATCTGTAGCGAAGAACCCATGCTGTGTTGTGAACCCTTAATCTCCAGAAGGAAGTGAATAACCACAGGCAAAAAACTTGAAAGATAACAGAAATTCCTCTCTGGACTCCCAAAGGCAATTTCAGTGAGAATTCCAGGATATTGATTGCAAAGCACAACCTGCATTATTCAACTTGACTGGGTTGTGTTCCACTGATATCTTCATAATAGCAGCAGCACACAAACCTTAAGTCTAATCGGTGGTGTAGGACTACATCCATAAGATGGTCAAACCTTCAGCCCAGTCTCTTAACAAGATGTTCAATTCTCTCCTAAAAATCAGGTAAACATAAATTGACTTTGATGGGAGACTTACGTTCTATATATATATATAATATAATATATAAAATGTATACTGCTGGAAAATAGAAAGAGAACTATAATGTCATATACTTGAAACCTCCCAATTTTGTACTCGCATTCATAGGTAGAACTGTTTAACTACCTGCTTGACTCAGGTTGATAATCATAAAAATCCCTCGAAAGAAAGTTGACTCTGCTCCACTCTGCAACAATGCAGTCAACGACACCGAGATCCACTTATTTTTCCTTTCTCTCAAACCCCACCATCACGACTACCAAAGATAAGCGCTCCGGGACTCTACCTGGCGTGCGTGAATGACGCTATACAAATGCAAGTTGTTGTTAGTCACAAGTTGGCCACAAGCCTAACGAGCACTGTTTGAGCTGCAGACAGATAGCTGCTACCAGGAAATTTTGCTGAACGAAATGACGAAAAACCCTACGAGTAGGTTTCCACCGTCCTCCAACCCACAGCCAGTGTGCACAAACTTACCCTGGGAACGGTGACTTCATTAGTTTTACCATGTAACCAGTTTAATCTGCAAACTGATGCCAAGAAACCACAAGTGACACAGCGCTGTCCCATTTGAGTGGTTTCATCCTATTCGTCATACGTTAACTGTAGGTATAACCCCACGTCTAGACTCCTCAACTGGTAACTATACCAGATACTCGCGAATGGATATCCTGGCCCTCTTTTATGAATGCAAGCCCACACTGTGTATGTTTAACTTGCGTTTTACCATTTGTACCGTGGCTACATGGATGCAAGAAAGCCCAGCTTGGCCCAAAAAGTGGCTAACAATTTCACAGGTCTCCCGCAAACCGCAACGAATTTCAGTCCAAGTCAGATTTACCTCCACGTTGGGAGAGGAACCTTACTTGCTTCTTCTTTTTTTGGGGGGCCGGTAAAGAAGATGATCGTGAATGATACGTTCTTTTTTTTAAAAAGAAACAAAGCAAAAAGACCAATCAATCCCATGCACTGCTGATGTAAGTCGAAGCAAATACACGGAGCTAGTGAGCAAAGTGGTTTGAACATTGATCAATCAGCTCGCGGAAACTTTTAACTTAATCCAGCGTCTGTCTCGTGGGTAACCTGAGAGATCTGTTGCAGGACGTTTACTGATTGCTGCATAATTGACTAAAATCCACTTGAAGCTGGATAACTGC